CTCTGAAGTGATTGCCAGATTCAGTTCCATCCCTACATCACTTCCTTTTGTTGGTCAAAAGTCATCCTTCCGTGAAGTGTTATTAAACTGGTACTCCAGTGATTTAGTATTGCACTTCAATAAAGTTGGGGGGAACCACAAGAGACATATTAATAGAAAAATGGTCAAAGTTGAAGCAGCAGAAGCCAAGATATCATGACTTATAGTCTCTCATGTAGGTCCAGCTTAAAAAACACACGCCCAACTCCTCCAGTTGGTATAACAAACTGAGATGTGAAGGCAGTATAACTGAAGATGCTAATAAGTTGCATTATGAAAATTGTAGGATCTAAGGCTTTTGGAGCTTAATCTATACTATTGACTAAGAGTCAGGACATCTCAACCTCTGCTGGTACTTTTTACAACTTACTTTGTTTATTAATCTGTCTATTGCGAGTCCCCCAACTGTATTGAAGTGCAATATGGAATATCTGGAGTACCCTTTTCTTTTCTTTAGTTCCAGTTTGTAACGCAAACTGAAATTTTGGAGTTAGAATGTATAAGTCCAATGAGTCCAAATGGAGATAACCCCAATGAAATCATCATAGTTAATTTTTCAAATTTGAAAGAGCCTCAGAAGATATTATACAAAAGCTTTCACAAGGTGGGTAGAACATCAGTCTTTGTAATCAATAAAATGAACTTCAAGTGTAAAATCAGTAGAATGTGGTGTAATTTGTCTGTTTGCGGATCCCTCACATCTGAGCTGTCAGTCACCAACCAGAGGTGGAACACTTTCTCAGAAGCATTGAAGCTCAAAGATTGGATTGGATGTTTCGTTTGTAATTACTGATTATGATGCATGAATTGTTTTGTTCATCACATGTTGAAGCCCTTCACACGGGCCAGTGGTGGATTCTGAGGTGGTCAGGACAGCAGACTGCTGTTGCATATCTGAATATTGTAGATGTTGGTGATTTCTAATCAGAATAATCACTGACACCACACGCCATAAAACTGTTGGCTGACATGTAGACATATAGTAGATAGAAACAGCGCAGTCATAATGCAGTCAGTTTAAATTGGGTTTAACATTTAACTTTAAGTTTTAGTACGAATCTGATGTTATTTTACTTCCTCTATCTGTGCTCTCTGTCTTACAGCGTTTTCTTCCCCCCCATGGACTCTTTGTGTTTCAGTCTATCGTTTACCTCTCTGTTTGCTGCAGAGAAATAAACTGATTACCACCGCTGACCTTGTCCTCTTTGGGCATTTGAAGTAAATAAGTAGGTTGTGTTCTCTTGGACCTCCAGGAGCTTTGTTACATATGGATTAATTCACTGAAAAAGAGAGGTCATACCTTTTCCAAGCCTTCCTGAGTGAAAGCTCGCTCACACTCAAAGGCCAAATTGTGTCCCTCAAGATTGAGTCTCCAGAGCTCTTTCTGATCTCTTTTTTTTTCTGTAGTGAAGTAAGACTCATATAGAAAGTCAGGTAACAGACTCCCAGTAGAAGCTTTGTCCTTGATGACAGATAGAAGAATTTGAGCCATGTGTATTTCACTGCAGAGAAATTAATGCTCTAATTTGTCTGGGTTTTGAATATTTCTGTGAAGAAATCAAAGGCTCTGTCTTTTACTTCATCTTGCCCTCCAGCTCCATCTCTCTTACCCCTCTCTGCTGATTTCTTCGGTCTTGCAACAAGGTCTTGAACACTCTTGTTGTTCTCTTTATCCGCAGTAGGTTTTACCTTTCAACAGCCTTTTTGCACATAAAGTATCATAGAGCTGAATAAAATGACAAAAGCCCCTGAAAAGTCACACATAAAGAAATATGTTTTGGTAAAGGAATTATACATCAAAAGCAAGGAATAGTGTTATTATTGGCCAGTGGAGTGATGCAGTTTTATTGCACGTAAAGCCCAGTGCCTGTCCGTGTGTTCGTCTTTGGAGACCTTAAATTATCACCAAAAATGTGCTCATAATCAAAGAATGGCTTTCCCTGATACCAGTCGTTCTTAAAAAATCACAGCTATTTTAAATCTTTCCAGTGAGCAGATGTAATTGACTTTTACTTTGCATCTAATTTACATTTTTATAGTTCCTGACCTTTCATAAGTTTGCATGAAATTCTCCTGACAGCAAAGTGAAAACAGAGCTAATGTGTCTCTCGCTCGACCCACCCACACCACATTTGAGAGATTTACATTATGCATCGTTAGATAGAAATTGGTAATGTACTGAAACTGGTGGCAGTGTCTGTGTGTTACAGTGCAGCCTGTAATATGGACGGCTGAGATGAGAGTGCACCCAGATTGATGGGGAGTTGTATGAGAAAAGAGAGAAATACTGGAAGGAGAAAAGCAGAATCTTCTCCTAGAAGATAAAAAGTGACACAAAAATGGAGTAAGAAAAAGTGAAAGGAGAACAATATTTTGATTTGTAAATCAAACAAATAGGAGAACAATCTGTTTTTAAAAGAGCAGTTCTCAGTTGTAGAAAAGCCTCCAAGACACGCAAATGTTTGAAATAAAAACGTGGATTTATTTAAAAAAGATAGAAGGGCGTGTGTCAGAGAGAAATATAATACTAGGTAATTAGGTTGGATTCTTGGATGGAAGAATGCATTACACTGCCAGTGTTTTCCCTTCTGAAACTAATCAGACAGATTTACACACAAACTCCGCCTGGTGTCAGCCCGTTGACAATAAAACATCCAGTGTGGAACGTCTCATCTGTCTCACTACAGTCAGACAGCAGCAATAACGGGCCTGTCATCATGCAAAGACATTCTCGGAGTGTAGCCAGCGAGCAAGCAGCCAAGTTTTTGTTAGGATTTGTGTGTGTGTGCAGTTTTATTTTTATACGTGCACTGGAAAAAGTCAAAATTCAGATATAATATTTAAATGTCATATTTAGATTCATAGTAAACTGGTATCACTGCAGCATATTCTTCATTATTCTTCAGTCTTTGTTTAGATCCTCATTAGCTTCCACGAAGTTGTTGCTAGTCTTCCAGGGCGACGCATAAAAAAGGAAAATAAAAAATAAAAATGAACAGCAATTTAAAGTCCCTGCAGCATAAATTTAACAAGCAAAGGGGAGGACATACCAAAGGTAAACTAAAAATTCAAATAAAGAAAATCCCAGACAGCAATAAAATAACTGAAGCAAAAGTACAACTTTTTGAGATTAAGCCATCTCTGTTTCAGTAACTTACTTTTGATAGAAAGATGTACTGATTCACTGTAATGTTACGTTGGTGTCTGTCATGTTCCGAGGCAGAAGAAGCTCTAAAGAGAACAGTTTTTGTTCTGCTGTCTTATCTATCGATGCAGTTCTCGCAGTGATGCAGAATCTAAGGATGGAAACAAAATGAATTCATTAATTCTGTTTGCTAAAGAAATGATGACAACTGTGAAAACTGTGAATTATATCAGTAAGTATCAGATAATTTCAGCCTGTCTGAACAAAACTGTCAGATTTGACACACACTCATCATTAGACGCTCTTCTGATAAAAACACTTGTGAAATGTAGATGGAGGAACTCATGGTGGCTGCACTCATAAGAGACACACTTTGCTCAGTTACTTCAGTTCTTCTTCTTCTTCTTCTTTCATGGATACGTCATAGATAGATTTCATAGATCTTTATTTATTTTGCATGTTTTCAGAAAATCCTTTTTGCTTATGAAATCTTTCCGAAAATGTTTGGATTCACTTAAACTGCATCAGCAATTGTTATGTAGCCTACTAGATACTGAAAAGTTGACATGTTTGAAAGGTTTTCACCCACCAATGACAACATGTGGAAGATTTGTTGGATTCATAGTAATCTAGTCTCAAAACTCACCAGCCGTGTTTCACCAGCAAATTGGAAATTATGGAAAATATTGACCTTGATATGGTGTTTGCTGCTTGGCAATGAAGTTGTTCACATGGATCAACTTAATTGCTGCCATCATTTGAGGTAATTACAGCAAATATCTTTAAAAATTTAGATGCATGGCGTGTCCTGTTGACCCAGCGTTCCCAGATTCTTGACACATGTCAGCTTTCCCGATATTTGCTCATTTTTAATCTTTCTCTCTTTTCAAGGCATACAAGCTTAATACCATAAAAAAGTTTTCAATTTCCATCCAAAAAATCCAAAACAGAACACATTCAATACACATTAAATTTTTAAGCTGTCAAAATAAAAATAAAAAACACGCATTTTGTTTGACAGTGACATAAGGACTTTAGTCTCATATTTGTGACTGTGTAGTTTACATTGGGATTAAAGACCCGTGGTAATTTATCTTCTTCAAGTACACAGTTACATAACATTGTCTGCTGCTGTGTGCACTTTTATTTTTCCGCTGTGAATCTGCTTTGTAAGTCTATTTATCAGCTTCCTGTTGGGAAGTGGTCGCATAAGGTAATAGGTGACAGTACAACAGGAAAATAGATCTTGTGTACACGCGTACACACACACACACAGACAGGATCTGTTCTTGGCCTCTAGGACCTCTGAAAACATTCTCTATCCAGATTCTTCCTCTTCACGCAGGATGGATGAGGTGAATGTGCTCTGTCCCTCCCTCTTTTTCTTTTACAGTTGAATGCACCTGGTCATGATAATAAGCTGTAATTCACACACTGCAATTAATGCCAAGAAATCATTTGTAAGGAGATTTCTCCTACAACAGTGATGCAGATGAACAGCAGATGATTATAAAACTAATTTGGAGCCACGCATAAAAAGCTGAATGACCACAAGGGACCTCTCTTTCTCTCTCTCTCATTTCTTACTTTGTTTCTACATAACAGGCAGTCCAATAAAGCGGAATAAAGGCAGAAAGGCACCACACCCACAATGGTAATAGCCAGGGACGTAGTGCTGCATAAAAAGCCTGTCCACCCAGCTCTTAAAAAAAGAAGTGTTGTGTAGGACAATGTGCCGACAGGGGATGTGTATTAACACTATCAGATTTGAAAAAAGGTGTGTTTACTCTTTCTGTGTGTGTGCGTTCTTGCCCAGGCCGCAGGGTGCTCGCATGATGTCCAAACACGCAGGTGAGCAGCTCTCCAGCACCACCGTCAGCGAGGCCTCCACTGCCGTCACCTCCTCCACTGTGGACAGCACCTCTGCCTCCAAGGTTAGTCTGCGTGTCTCTGTACGCATCGTTCAGTGTCACCTCGCTGTGGTTGTATCTAAATATTGTCATAGCACGTTGAGGACAACAATAGTATGGATGACCTTGTTGGGGAAAGATGCATCTGTGTTTTTGATAATTTACTGTTAAATGAGTGTCGACACAGTATGTCACTATAGCACTACAGCACTGGACTTAGTTTACTTTCAAAGCGTTTCCAATTTGCATAATTATCTGTATTTTTGTTCTTACAAATCAATTATTTATTTAGTTTCAATTTGATTTCCCTTCTATACTTGACTTTCATTCTAATTTTGTAGTATATCTTGAGGGACATTAAATTATGAAGTATTATTCTATTAGAAAACTCGTTCTGCAGCTGCCCCTTTCTGTATGGGTCATGGCTTTACCCAGTGACGAGAATGATTGAAAGGATTATTTAAATCAAGTTTTAAGCTCTTCAAAGGCTGACCTTAAAGCACTGACTACAGTTTTCGTGTTGTTTTGTTTTTGGTCCACCACTTCTCCATCATTCAGCTCTATCACCTTTCACCTCGTTGTTGTTGTGGTACACACAAATAACGTAAAATGGTTGCAATCTGTGTCTAGAGAGTAAGATCACAGCAAAAAGTGTTTAGCTGGATATAAAGTTCTCAGTGATAGGTCAAACATTTTGCAGTTTCGTTTAAAAAAGCAGAAGAGAGCAGAGGAAACAGCAAATTACTTTTTTTTGCTTTGACATTTAATCAGTTGCATAAACTCTATGGTTTCTATTATTATTTTCTTTAATCAGAGATCTTCTTTTCCACTTCTTGCCTTTAAATTTGTCAACCACTGGTGGTTATGAAAACCTCTGAAACCCTTAGCTCAGTCTGTGATACATTAGCTTCCTCCCTCTGTTTCCTTCCATAAATAAATCTCCCGGTTTCTCGGAGAGCGAATGCACACAGTGTAGACACCAGCACAGACTGACAGTCTGCTCAGCACTGGTCTTGTTTGCTAACATTTATTGTTTTGATAGTTGAAGTCAAATGGACAGATTTAGTAACTGATGGAAGAGCCAGAGATCCTCAGACTCCTCTGACAATCTCTCTGTCCAAAAACTGACAGCTGCACTTTGGCCATCAAGCTCCCTAGCCTGTGGTAAATCATGCCTGAGGCATTTAAGCCTGCAAACTTTAAAATAGTGACTTACTGTGCACTTACCAAAGTCTTGTATTCATTTCAACATTTATTATTATTATTTATTGATTTATATCACTCTTGTTTTACCACAATGTGCTTAAATGATTATGTCCTACTTCCTTTCCCTACTCTTCTTTGCTGTGTTCCATGTTCAGATGAGATCTACAGTACAGTATATGAATAAAGTAGTAGTAGTAGTGGTGGTGGTGATGGTAGTAGTAATAGTAGTAGTTTGCAGTACTACAGCCATTGCTCGTATTTGTGGTCACACTTACTGATTTGGTCAGCATCAGTTTTTTAGCCGTCTCTGCAGATGGTGGATGATGATAAATGGGGGGTCTGAAGGTCTTCTGTGACTGAACAAGTTCCATGACAGACCCGCAGGAATTAAAACGAGATTTAATTGGAGAAAGAGGTGGAGAGTCAGTGGTGGTGTAGTGGTTTTAGTTCTAGTTTGATTTAAAGCAGGAATTAGAGCAAGGCAGGTACTGTAGGTATTTTGTAATGACCTCTGCCTGTCTGTATAGCAGGATTATTTACAACATACAGCCAATTACAGATGGAATAATCTATCATGATATCTAGACTGAAATGTTTGTGTTTTTTGTTCTCTGTTCCTCCTGTGTCTGGTTGTCCTTCAAGCTGTCATTGGCTCAGGCAATGTGCTGTTGCTGCCAAAATGATAGAATATGGTGAAGCAATTCAGCTTAAGCAATGCTGACAAATTCAAATTTGAGCTTCCAAATGCAGATCTTGTGTAGGTTACATTCTTCGCGATCTGGTTTTTGTGCAGCATAAATATGTCTGCACAGGAATTGGAAAGTTTTACTTTCTGTCTTGTTTATTCCCTTTCCTTCACTATCCTTGACTCACTCGTTCTACCTGTCACTTTTCTTTCTTTCAGTCTGTATCTTACTCCCCCCTTTCACTCACTCGCATACATGCACATGCACAACTCCACAGTGGCGTGAAATCTCATCCTGCCCTATCAACAGGTGCCGTGGGACTAAGATTGAACGTGTGTCATCAGGTGCGGTACAGACATGACAGGGCATCCATCACGATGGCATGTCTCCATTTCTACACCCCGTGTTTTTCCTGGCCTGCAGCCTGCCCAGGTGCTCTGGCTCATCACCCCTGCTTTCAAACAGCAGCAAAATAGTGCAGAAGCCTCATTCTGACAAGAAAAATTCTTAATAAAAGAATGTTGTCTCACAGGGAAGATAAGTCAGTCGTGGTGCCCTTGCATAGCCACCATGAAGAAATAAATACACATTTTGAATAAGTCACATCCATTCCGCCTCTGACAAAACTTCAGAGGGAGCGCTGAGACACATTTCTCCCACGAGTTATGTGTCATTTCTCTGTCTCTCTGTTGCTGGATGCATGTTTAGTAATGTTGTGTCCATAACCAGTCTGCACAACTTCTTTGAGATTTATCAAAGTCAATGTCATTTAAGAGTTCCTGTCGTTTCTCAGTTTGCAGTTATACATTTATGCAGCTTTATGTGCCTCATCACTTCCCTGCCTCAATATTTGAAAAAAAGCTTTCTCCGCTCTTTAACTGTGCCACTTGCAGCATGGAAACCACAGTACCACAATAAATGATATGTGATAATACGTTTGGTTGGACAGTGATTTTATTTTATTTCAGTTCAGGCAAACATGCAAGTGGAAAGCTGGTGAAGATCAGCAGTAAGAGATTTGTGTGAAGCAGCTCATATCTGAAAATCCATTGGTTAAGGGATATTACTTTGCTCATAAATGTATGTTCCTGACCCCAACCTAGAAATTCTTGGATGTTTTTAAGCCATGCTAGTGGCATGGCTCTAGGGATGGTGAAATCCCATCTACTATCAGATGCCCTGCCATGAAATTTTGTTCAGACATGTCCTGAGAGAATGAAATCTACTGTCTTTGGTGATTGCTTGAGGTTGATATTTTTGTTTCTTTGTAAAATGTCTCCACAACTACTGGATGTTGCCATAGAAATTGTTACAGACATTCATGGTGGCTGTTGACGTTGTTTGTCAGACTAATAGTAAAAAAAAAACTTAAATACTCAATGGACAGTACTGTAAAACAGAGCAAAGCAGTAAATCCTCTCATTATGAGATTCTTGAAACACAAAATGTTGGGTATTTTTGCTTTCAAGCTGCCATGTTCAACTCCACTCAGCTGCTGTTAACCACTGATCAGATCCACTTGACCAGACTGGGATTAGGTGTCTTGCGTAAATACACCTGAACCAGATTTCTAAAGGACGGGGAAAGGACTACTCTTGTTTAATTACCTCACCTTCCCAGATGATTCTTGTCTGGCTAGGGATTTGAGCCGACAACCTCCAGGTCTTAGACTGGGCTCTCTAGGCTTTTAGGTTGTCTGATCGTGTGCCATTAATGTAACAAATAGCTGCTCTGCACCCTGAGTCACTCACCTACAGTACAAGACAGAGTGCTACTTTGCAGCAGGGACCACAGCCTTTTTCACAGAATTACCCTCAGCCTAAAAATAGACCACCGCATCCTATACACACACACACACACGTATTTGCAAACATGCACATACAGGCAGAAACAGACAGATTAAACATGCATAGACATACACATACTGTATATTTACAGATATGAGACTCCAATGTGACAGTATTGGAGCCTCTCTGTGTCTTTGCATCATGCTTGGCCAACCTGCCTCCTTCTAATTAGCGAGTATGTTTGCTGTTTTCCAGCTGCGGATGGCTCCCAGTGCTGCTGCCGGTCCATATACACAGTCATGCAGCCGTCACACCAAATCTTTTATTATAATAACAGTGTGACAAGGGTGTGTGTGTATGTGTGTGT